ACGCCACTGCTTCTCGGGTCCGCTCCGTTCCGCCGTGGCGTTGTTATCGCTCTTCGACTGCTCTTCTCCGGATGAGAACCATTATCAACGGTAAAGTGATTAGACGATGAAATATAAAACCGAAGCTCTGTTTCCCACCGCAAAGCACGATTATATATCTCGTGGCAGAACCAGCGGGAGAACCGCGATAAACGAGTTGGCGAGGCTATCCTGGATGCACATTTCACTAATTTCGCATCGTAAGTAGCCAACCGTGCTAATCGGAGGTGTCGGTGGGAAGGACAAACTGAAGACAACAAGCAGCTCTAAAGAGTTTGTCAATCGAGATGATGTAAATGTGCATCGCTCCAGTGGCTTCCCAATATCAGAAGGAAGAGCGTTCCAGACGGCCGCAGAAGCGCATCTGAACGCGTGCGATGCGGCGGCCGTCTTTGTTCGAAGGCGAGCAGCCAGTAGCCGCTGCTGCTGCAGCTGCAGCTGCAGCTGCGAGGATGAGCGGAGTGTCGCGTGACGATGGGTAGATACAAGGCACTGAGTCCGAGATCCCTGCTCGCTGCCGGAACGTCTCGTCTCTCGGCCACGCTGTGTTTTACCACGACACTGCAGGTCACTTCGCTCTGTGTGTACGCGTGTACTTTGAACTTCCTTCGCACCTTACGCAGCCAACCGTGTTCATCGGTGCCGGGGTGGTGTGGGGGGGCAGACAAACTCAACACAAAGAGCAGTTCTAAAGAGATGAGTTTCCGAGCGAGATTCTAAAACTCCCTGCCACTGTCCGAGGGCGGTCATGCGTCCGCCGCTTGTTGCAGAGGTTCGCGGGCTCGAATCTGGTGGCCGCCCCCGGTTAATCCCGCGGCTGTAATCAACCGCTTCACGTGAACGCTCCCGCAAGAGCAGGCCGCCGCGTGCCGGCGTCGGAGCCCAAAGACGTCGACTGCCAACATTCCCCGCAAGTTGCTCAACGGGGACTGCAGATGGCAACCATCGCCCCCTAGTGGCATGCCAATGCCCTCTGGTGACTCTCGCAAGTGAGAATGTGTCCTTGCCTCTGATTAATCTCGCCCGGTTAAACAAATCAATCTTCCCTCGCACTGCCCGACTTGAGAACCTCTTCCCAACGTCTCTTTTCCCTCCCCTCGGAACCTCTCACAACAATCACCTCGCTCAAACGCCCCGCTCGCTCACACCCCTTCCCCTCTTTGGCAGTGTGCCGTTTGTTGCTGGCCGCTTGGCGCTTGTGGGCCTCTGCGCGGGGGGCCCCGACGCGCTCACCTCGAGCCACGCGGTCCTCTCACCCAACGCCAGAGACGATTTTAAAGTTTGTCGACAGCAACGACAACGACAACAACAAATAGCAACGTGGCACTTGGCGTCACGTGGGAGGGCCGCGGAGACTTCGGGTACGCGCTCGCCCGGTCAGGGGTCATCGTCCCCTCGTTCATCTATCGGCGCGTTCCTCCTTTACTACTCAAAGCATGAGAGAGAGAGAGAGGGGAGGGGGAGAGATCAATTTGCTTCGACGGCTTCGATTTTGGCCGGCCGCCCGCGGCTTGTGGGGGGTGTGGCCCTGCCTCGTCTTCACGTCTCGCGGCGATTCTACTGCTTGATTTTGTTTCTTCGCCCCTTGCTTGCTGGGAGAGCGCCTCGCGCGGATTTGAAGACATCAGCACTTGGGCGAGTGCCCAAAGGGGAGGGAGGAGGAGGAGAGGGGGGAGAGTGGAGAGGGGGTGGAGGAGAGGAGGGGGCAGCAGGGAGGAGGAGGAGGAGGAGAAGAGGGGAGGGATGAGGAGAGGGGAGAGGGGAGGGAGGACGAGGGAGCGAGCAGACGTTGCGAGGAGGTCCACTGATGTATCACAACGCAACGTGCGCCAATTTTGACAGCGTCTTACGTAAACAAACACATTCCAGTTGAAGTGGCTTCACAATCACCAAACAAACACAAAATAACATTGTGATACTTCTACTTCTGCGAAGGTAGAGCCAGCAGATTGCAATCCCAATGTTTAAAACCTGGTTGCGGGCGGTCGTCTCAGCCCATCAGTATCCCTCCGGGACTGATAAAATGGAGTACCACTTTGTGCAGAAGCCAACAGCGATTGTGCTATGGATATGTTCGCCCCCGCCATGGGAGTGTGGAATTTCCACAAACTGGCTCAGGGCCGCTAGCGGGAGCTGAGCACCAATATGTCGTTACTGCATATGTTGCATTTATGATGTTTATGTTGAAGATGACGATTCTAATTTTTCTATTTTGACATTTAATTTTTGGAACGTGCTTCTGGTGCGGTATTTAATAATAATAAGTATTATTATTTTCCATGCTCATTGTAACTTTTGTCTATTTTGCTCAACGATTTTCAAGGCGCGGTTGGCTACGTACGGTGCGAAAGAAATTCCAACGCACCTACATACAATTGCATCGCGTTCACACCGTGTAATGCCCGTCGCGTTACACGAGGGCTCCCTCGGGAACGGACTTTCCGTTAGGGCCCTGGCCCCGGTTAAACCGAACGCTCTTAGTTGATTGTTCCCTGGCCACTGCTTATCAAGTGGAGTGCGTGGAGTGCGTGGAGTGAGTGCTGTTGGCCCACAGCCAGTGGCATCTGATGCTGATGTTGCTGGGCACCGCTTGAGCTCCTGCCTCCCCTCGTGTGTGTGTTCTACATGTACGCACGTTGAACTTCTTTCGCGCCCTACGTAGCCAACTGCGCCCATCGGAGGTGCGGGCGATGGACAACAAACCAAACGCAAAAAGCAGTCCTGAAGATACGAGCGTTCAATCGAGATGATGAAGATGTAAAAGTGCATCGCTCCAGTGGCTTCCTACGATCGGAAGATGGCCGCAGAAGTGCATCTAAAAGCGGCGGGCGATGATGCGGTGACCCCCATCTTTGTGCGATAGCGAGCCAAAAGCCGCCACTGCCGCTGCTGCTGCTGCTGCTGCGAGGATGACGGAGAACGGGAAGCACTTGAGCGGGAGCCGTGAACAATTGGCATTGCAAGTGCACGGGCAACGCCGAGCCAACTCGGCGGCCCAGCCCGCAGGTCGATCAGTGCTCGATGACGACGACGAGGATGCTGAGAATGATTTAATTTGATCGAGCGTCCTTCACGCTGGGCCGGGCGGACGCCTCTCTCTGGGTGCTTTACTCGCCGCGACGAGCCACTCACTTGACGTCTCAAAAGGGAAACCCGCCGCCCCCCCCCCCCCAGAACCCCACCACAGTGGCAGCTGTCCCCGTGTGGCACAAGGTGACTCAGCAGCCGGCCTGCGATCGCTCGTCCATCGGACTGCGAGCAGAGGGGGCGATGATTGCTACCGCTGTGCGCAATCCCATTTGAGTAATTCGCGAAGGATTATTTTTCTTCTTCGAAGTTTGGTTACACTTAGACCGTGATGACGGCACGCAATGGCCGGCTCGTTTCTAATGACATCCACGGGATCGTTAACGTACACTGTGAGTGAAGCGGACGGCGCTCGGTATTTTTACGGATAACCAATACCAATACACCGCCATTTGCCACTACACGGTGGTGGCGTCACCACGGCGTCTGTGCCAGGCCAGGTGCACTTTGAGGCCAGGTGAAGTGTTGAAGGATCGCTAATAGGAGGTCACAGGACTGACCCAGGTGCCACGGATAACCCCCTCCCCCTCATTATTAACCAGGACGGCCTGCCGGATTTGACCCACGAACCTCTGTCATTGGCCCCAAGCCGGACGACCGCACCTTGCGGTTCACGGCTCCCACGGACGAACGGGGGGTGGTGGTGGTGGTGGTGTTGGGGGCGGAGCGCGAGCTCGGAGTGCCCGGCAGTGCCGTCGCGTGGCAGGGCCCGTTGTGAGCTCCGCCGTTCGCCGTGGAGATCGCGTGGCTACGATGCCACCTTGCGTTGGTGTCGGCTAACCGTGACCCTGACTCGCGTTGGCAGGCACGGTCGATCGATCGCGGTCGTTATGTCATCGAAATGTTGTCTTGTACTGGAGGAATCCGATGAGCTATAAAGCTCTTTTTTCACAGAACGATTCAACAACAAATAATAATAAAAAAACGATCGGAGTGCAAAACATACGAAAGGTAAACAAATCACTTTGAATAATATACACATTTATTTTTATCTTACCAGATGAAGCCCATTGAGCTCTTAGCTTTTTCAAAAGTGACCTGCTAATCACAAGTGATAGCTCATTTAAGATGGCTCATCGTCATCGCGTGGTTTCAGTTGTCCAGCGTCGATCTCGCCGGGGGGAACCGTGGAAAGGTCGGACGTGTGGACATTGTGAGAGATTGGCAGCTGCTGCCGCCCTGCCGTGCACATTTCTGGAGAGAGTGACGGAGAGAGAGTGTGAGAGAGAGAGAGAGCGAGAGAGAGCCAGCGAGAGAGAGCAAGAGAGCGAACGAAACTTTGACTTTTAAACCACTTTTATTGCCGCCAGAAGCAACAGCACTGGAGGCAATTTCGATACGAAACACAAAGTCACCAGCAACAAAATAACCAAACACAATAAAAAAAACGCGCTACAGCACGTGGCGCTAGACGCACCATCCACAAAAAAACTTCACGTGGTGGTCGTCGTGCACGCCACACCCCACGACTGTGCACGTTAGAAGGTGAAAAGGAGGGTGAGAGAGAGAGACAGCGAGAGAGAGACAGAGAGACAGAGAGAGAGCGAGAGAGTGAGAGAGACAGCGAGTGAGAGCGCGACAGAGTGAGAGAGGCAGCAGCATTGGCTGCGGGGGAAACGCGCCGCCGTGCCGTCCGAAGTCGGCGATTTTCCGCGAGATTAGGAACGCAAATTTACTGCGCGTGAAAACACGTGCCGTGGAGAAGGGCATTCGCCCGAAAACATCGTCTATTTGTATTTATCTAGTTTTTTTCCCCCTTTCATTGACGAGTGTGTTGAGTTTTGTTGCTGTTGTGGAAAAAGTTGGGATTTGTGAACACCTGTAGCACGGGTGTTCACAAACATAATTGGTCAGGGCCGATACGTGACGCTCAGATGTGTGACGTTGTACCGTGCGGTTGATGATAATTCGTTGGGTGGACATTGGCGGCACGTGCTCGCACCGCGAAACGCCAGGGCTGTGACGTGCCGGCCTTAACAGGAGCTCGCTGACGGAGCAACTGACCACTGCTTCTCTGTTTGTCCGCAGGCATCGTGTTCACCACGCTGGTGTTCGGCCCGGCGTGCGGCTTCATGCTGGGCTCCGTGTTCACGCGCATTTACGTGGACGCCATCTTCATCAACACGAGTGAGCCCGCTCGACATTCAGACACTCTGTGAAGGTTATCGTCGCGAGAGACGACCCGTGACCGGTTTGACTGGTGCCCGCTGCTCCACGTGATGAGCCACTTCGTCGAGCTGTTATTTGTGGCCAGGTCGCTCCTCAAAAAAGAGCTACGCAGCTCAGCGGGCCTTACCTGGTAAAACAAAAATAGCTTCGTTTAAAAATTGTTTGGTACCAGCAGTGGAACACGATCCAAGTCCTCCAAGCCCTTGGGCCGAGGCAAGGCCAAGCAATAGAGGGCCCGAGACAAAGCCAAGGCCGAGAGCCCCCTCGGGCCGAGGCCAATGCCAATCGTGGCCTCAGGCCGGCACTTCAGAAGCCAAGGAATTTTTGCCGTGACCGTCGCCCCTCGTGTTCGTTCCCCGCCTCCACCTTCGACACACAAACACTCTCACCCCCCACCGCACAGGCAAGCTGGACCTGACCCCGGAAGACCCGCGCTGGATCGGCGCGTGGTGGGCCGGCTTCCTCCTCTGCGCCGTGCTCCTCTTCGTCTCCTCGCTCTTCATGTTCGGCTTCCCACGCTCGCTCGCCCGCCCGCCGCACTGCACGCCCGAGCTGCTGCCCTCGCTGCCGCCGCCGCCGATGCTGCTGCCGCCGCCGCCCGGCGCCGTCGTTGCCGGCCACTCGGATCGCGCCGCCCTCCGACCCCTGGCGGCGCCTCTGACCCCCAAGACGGCAAACGGCAGCGTGATTACCCCGGGCAACGGGCGGGAGGCGTTGTCGTGTTGCCGCCACTTGAGAGGTGAAGCGCCGTGCAGCGGTTAACGGCGGTTAACGGCGGTTAACGGCGGTTAACGGCGGTTAACGGCGGCTTCGTACCCAGAGGCGAAGAAGCGTCCTTGTCGTCGTAGGCCGTTGCGTGCCCGGGGGGCGTGGTGTAAATTTTGTCAAATTCGAAAATTTGTCCGCATAATTCTGACATGGGAAATTGCGCGCGGCATCAGCAACATCGCCCTGTCCTGCAGAATTGCTGCAGAGAGGACGCTACGGTAGCGAGATGGTAACTCCCTCGCCTGGTATACAGGAGGTCGTGGCTTTCATCCCGATGCCTGAATCCGTGGAGTTTGCGTGTCTCTCACGTGGATTTTTTCTCTGGGTGCTCCGGTTTTTCTCTCCACGTTTAGAAAACACGCGCTTAGAGTCTTTGGCTGCTGCTATGAATGTCCACTTCGTTGAGCTGTCATTTGTGATAGCCGGGTCGTCTCTGAAAAAAGAGCTACACAGCTCAGAGGACCTTACCTGGTAAAGTTAAACATTGTTTAAAAGTTGTTTTGAAAGACCGCGTCAACAGAAACGCCGCCGCCTTCCTCCGCATTTGTCTCGCGCTGTAAGGAGTGGCACGAATCTCGAACGTGCCAATGCTTTTATTTTGGCGATTTGTTGCCGGCACCTGCCTGGCCGAGTGATTCAAACGACGCGAGATGAACGCAACAACACTCGGCGGTGGGTGGGGGGGGGGGGGGTCGGGGGAGGGGGGGCGGAGGTGGCCCGGGTGAGTCGCGAGGCTCGCGCTGAACCGACTCCGCTTGGTTCTGGTGTTCGAGTCTGGGTTGCAGTTAGCTGCCTGCGACGAAATTCTCAACAGCAGCGAGAGTTCAATGTCTTGGCACCAATGCCTGCACAAAACACCACGCGTGTCCATTTAGATTCTCTCAGACTTATTTTCATTCGGGCTCTGTGAAGGAGGCTTGGAAAAGCCACCACTGGACTGGTTTCGTCAATTATCCCGTGACACCTGAGCCCTGCCCCGTGACCTCCTCCCAGCGAGTGATCAGGTCCAATATGCACCTGTGCTAGCGCAGCGATGTGCGGTGGTTAGCGCTCTGCACTATGAACCCGGCTACCCGAGTAAAATTCCACGCTCGTGATCAATGCAGTAACAGCGGCGAATATCTGAACCGGTCATAAGTCGACTCGCCGGGGGGATCTTTGTGTTGGCGGCACGCAGTGATCCCCAGGGCGACGCGCACTCTGCTGCGGAACCCGGTGTTCACCTGCATCGTGCTGGCCGCCTGCGCCGAGATCGCCGTCATCGCCGGCTTCGCCGCCTTCCTGGGGAAGTACCTGGAGCGGCAGTACAACCTCACCGCCTCCTACGCCAACCAGCTGCTCGGTAAGTCCAGCCGGTCATCTCCTCCTCCTCATCCTCCTCTCACGTGGAGCAGCCCGCTGGTTCCACTAGAACACGTGTGGTTGTGTCGGGGTAGCTGAGTGGAGCAGTCCACTCATTCCACTAGAACACGTGTGGTTGTGTCTGGGTAGCTGAGTGGAGCAGTCCACTCATTCCACTAGAACACGCGTGGTTGTGTCGGGGTAGCTGAGTGGAGTAATCCACTCATTCCACTAGAACACGCGTGGTTGTGTTGGGGTAGCTGAGTGGAGCAGTCCACGCATTCCACTAGAACACGCGTGGCGGTGACGTCGTCGGCGTTGACGCTGCGTGGACGTGGGATGCGGGGCGCCGTTTGTAACGTCCGCGTGTCGCCACCCCGCGTCCACCCCCTGCCCAGCGATGACGGCGATCCCGTGCGCGTGTCTGGGCATCCTGCTGGGAGGGCTGATCGTGCGCCGCCTCTCGCTCACGCCCCTGGGCGCGGCGCGCACCGCCCTCATGGTCAACCTGGTGTCCACGGCCTGCTACGTCTCCTTCATGTTCCTGGGCTGCGGCACGGGGCCCGTGGCCGGCGTCACCACGCGCTACGCCAACGTCTTCAACGAGTAGGGAGCGAGCGAGCGAACACGCCAACTCCGATCGTCCTCGCAGCAGCGGCTGCTTTTGGCTGCTCGCCGTCGAACAAAGACGGTCGCCGCATCGCGTGGCGCTTTCAGTCACACCGGAGCTGTGCAAATATCTTCAGAATTGCTTTTTTGTGTTTAGTTTGTTGTCCTTCCCCGGCACCTCCGATTAGCGCGGTTACGTACGGTGTGAAAGAAGTTCAACGTACGTACATGCATACGGATCGCGCGCCATGCAGAGCACCTCCCTAGAGCGTGCTTGATGTTCTCAGGCCCATCACCATTGGCCGCTCAATAAAAGTCCCACCGATATTTGCATTTCAGTGACGATTGACCCTCTTTGAAGCGACCCCAGAAGTGGTTCGGTGGCGCCATCTTCTGGGGCCACCTCACCACCACCGCGTCACGCGGTCGGCAGGTGCTCCACCCGTGGCGGTCCTAAGCCGATTCTAAACCGCCCGACGATCCGCCGATTGATTTAGACGATTGCGGGACGCGCGTTCGCCGCTTGTTCACCGTTCGAATTCAGTGGGCGGCCCGATTATTACTGCAGTGCAACAACCGTAAAAATGTACGTGCCGTGTGTACGTTTAACTTGTTTTGCACCGTACGTAGCCAACCATGCTAATCGGAGATGCGGGGGCAAGGACAACAAGCTTAACACAGAAAGCAGTTCTCAAGAAAAGAGTTTTCAATCTAGGGGGTTTAAAAGTGCAAAGCTCCAGTGGCTTCCTGATATCGGAAGGAAGAGCGTTCCAGACGGCCGCAGAAGTGCGGTGAGCGTCTTTGTACGACGGCTTGCGTGATGCTTTATGCTCTTTGACGAAATCGGCAAGGTTTATAGCGGCTCATTTGTGGCACTTTGTGTGTACGGAGCACGACCTTGCGATGAACTCGTTCGGCAACCGGAAGGCCATGCAGCTCGGTGAGCACCGGACAGACACGGTGTCGGATCTTGCAGATGCCACACGCCGTCCGCTTCACTCACGGTGGACGTTAAAGATCCCGGCCATTCGCAGGAGTCGGCGATGGCGTGCCGGCGTCACGGTCCAAATCGTCTAAATTGTAAATGACTCAATTGGGATTGTCGAGGGCAGTCATCGGCCCCTACTGGCAGACCGATGACCCCCAGGTCACCCTCGTAAATGAGACTCATCCTGGTCGCTTGAGTTCTCACCTGGCTCAACAAAGGAAACTTGAAACGAAACTTTGTCCAACAACCGATTGTCTTTGACTTGTCCGGACGGCGAGGCTCTACCCACGGCGCTCCTGCATGTGCGTGCATGTGTATGTTTATGTGCGCGCGTGTGTGCACGCATGTGTGTGTGCATGTGTGTGTGCACGTGTGTGTGCGTGCATGTGTATGTTTATGTGCGCGCGTGTGTGCACGCATGTGTGTGTGCATGTGTGTGTGCACATGTGTGTGCGTGCATGTGTATGTTTATGTGCGCGCGTGTGTGCATGCATGTGTGTGTGCATGTGTGTGTGTGTGTGCGCACGTGTTTGTGTGTGCACGTGTGTGTGTGTGCACGTGTGATTGTGTGTGTGCGTGTGCCTGTGTGTTTCAGGTCGGATGGGGATTGGCCCCTGGACCCGTACGCGCCGTGTAACCTGGAGTGTGGCTGTACGGCCGGAGCGTACAGCCCCGTGTGCGGCTCCGACGGCATCACGTACCTCTCACCCTGCTACGCCGGCTGCTTGTCTGGGGTGCGTTACTTGCACGTGTGCGTGTGCGGGCACGTGCGTGCGTGTGCGGGCACGTGCGTGCGTGTGTTGTGTGGGGAACGGTAGGATAGCGGTTAGCGCGCTGCGCTACAAACCTGGTGACACGATTTCGATTCCTGCTCACGGCCAACGTCAGTGCCAAATATCTGAACCATTCTTAGGCCTCCCCTAAGTCGTCTAAAATGAGTACTAAGGCAGCCGGGCGTGGTGTTGGCCACTCACCTCCTTTTGTGCCATGCCTGCCTTCATAGGTGCTCGCTAGCAGCACTTGCTCCAAAAGTCTGTTAAGGCTATACTGGCGGATCTTTGTTTGTTGTGTGTGTCATAGAAACTCGGGTCCCTTATGTAGCCTTCAACACACACATTCTCTGCAGAACAGGGCGAGGAACATTGCAATTCAACACACAGAGGCGCCCGAGCCGGGCACCAAACCCCAGGCCCATCTTGCCGTGAGGCACGAGCGTTGCCACTTATTGCAGCGCAACCTCGCCCGCCCGCCCGGCCGCCCGCCCGCCCGCCGCGTGCCGTACCTGTACCGTGCCTGCGTGCATTTCTTCCCCCCCTTTCCCCCGTAGAACATGTCGGAGTGTCTGTGCGTGTTCGCGAGCGAGGGAGGGCGAGCGGAGAGCGCCGTGCCGGGCCGCTGCCCGAACCCCGAGTGCCAGCGAGTGTTCCCCACCTTCCTCGCCATGGTCTGCGTCAGCAGCCTCATCGGCGCCATGGCGCAGACGCCGGCCATCATGATACTCATCAGGTGAGCGCCTTCCGCCAGGACCCCCGGCAGGAACCGCGCCGGGGCCCGGCTGGGCCACAGGGCCACCGTCCAAATATATCGGGAAGAACTCCCGCTTTATCTGGAGTCTAAATGCAAGGACAACAAAGTAAACAAAAAAAGGCAGTTCTAAAGAAATTCGTTTTCAAAAAGCCGAGTTCACCCCTGAGTGATCACGTGTGTGCAACTTGTCACGTACATTTTGTTATTTTGTCTCGAGGCGCAATTTGTAACGCGTGCAAGCGGGGTCGGTGGGAAGGCGGCCAAAACCGGCGCCACCAAAATCGGCCAAGCTCTGCGGTCTTCCAGCAGGATGCTTGCCACTCTATCCCAACTGGTCGCTGCACGCACGGCTCACGGTGATGTCTGTGTCCGTTGAACGGCCCCCGCCCCCCCCCACCCACACGTGGCACCGGCCGTTGGTGACCAAACTCTCCGTTGGCCTTCGTCGTGCGGCGCTCTCAGAACCGTGAGTCCGGAGCTCAAGTCGTACGCGCTGGGGGTGCAGTTCCTTCTCATACGCCTCCTGGGTAAGTCCTCGCTCACACACGCACGTGGGCACGCACGCACGCACGTGGGCACACGCCGTCGGCGGCGTGAGTTCTGGCTCAAGGAATGAAATGAGGCCGCCCTTCTCAGTAGCCGTGGAACATCGGCACCAAGGTCGGGCCAACGTTGGTCCAGCGGTTCCAGCCCACATGTCAATCAACCTTCGTCCAACGTTGGGGGCTTACTGGGCCGTCCTATTTAACGGTTGTGACGTACAATTACAACGTCACAACGGTGCTCGGTGAAATCCCTGATGCCACGTAATTCTCTTAAAGTGCATTCCGATGCTTTCGGGCACTCTTGGTGCAGGGCCTGCTGAAGGGCTTGCCTCGGGCCTCCTCTGACTGCATCCTTTTCGCCCGTTTCTTCCGCGAGACTTGGGAACGTGACTGCGCCTGGGGGAGACGTTACCGGGAGGGCCCCTTAGGAATTGACGCCGGAAGGCGGCTGCTGCTCCGCGCCCTCTCGGCGCACGCCCCCACGCTTGGCTCGTCTGGATAAAGAGGCCGAGCGAAGCGGTTTCATGTCGTCGCCTTCGAGGACACCGTTGGCCGCGAGTGTTCAGAACCGACAACTCCGCGGTGTCGTGACGTCGCATGGTCCGCGTCGCGATCGGTGTTTGGAGCAAAAATAAATGAAAGAGCTTTGTTCTCCTCCGCTGCGTTTTTGGGTCTACGCCGAAAACGTTTTGTTGAACGTCGCGGTGGGTGTCTCTGAAACTCGTCGGAGAGTTACCACAGCACGCCCGCGGACCCCTGTGCGGTAGAAAAATAAATCGGCTAATTAACGACAAAATCGACGACTCTTTCACCGCCGTCCTCCCGCCTCCTCCCCCCAGGGTTCATTCCGCCGCCGCTCATCTTCGGCATCGCCATCGACATGACGTGCGTGCGCTGGTCCGAGCCGTGCTCGCGCACGGGCGCCGTCCTCGCCAAGGGCAGCCGCGGCGCCTGCGCCCTCTACGACAGCGAGTCCTACCGCCGCATCTACGTCATCCTGGCCGTGGCGCTCAAGGCCACCGCCTTCCTGCTCTACGCCGCCACGTGGGCCTGCCTGCGCTGCTCGCCGGCGCGCTACCTCCACTCCGGCGGCGCCAACGGAGCGGCCGGGTCGGCGGCGGCTGCCGCGACCGCGGCAGCCGCGGCAGCCGCGGCGGCCGCGGCGACGGCTCCGGTGCCGGGCGCGGCCGCGTTCGGCCCGTCCGGTCCGGGCGACGGAGCGGCCGAACGGGGCTGGGCGGCCGGGCCGGCGTCCCCTCTGTCGGCGGGCGGGAGGCCCGGCGGGCCGAGGGCAAAGTTCGTCTACAGCCTGGACGATCGCGAGCTCTGCGAGAACATGGAGACCGTGCTGTAGGGTCGGGGCCGGCGCGACGGACCCCGCGGTTCGCCACCCCGAGAGCCCCGCCGCGGCTGCTGTCTCGCCACGCTCGTCGCGAAGGTGCCGATGCTCCGTCGCGCGCGGGCCAACCCTCCCGATCCCAAGCGGTGGGCTGCCGCCCTCCAAACTCTTTTCACCGCACGCCGATTTTAAAAGTCGGGGAAAAAAAGCGACACGATTAGCTCTGCAAACTCGGCGTGCGCGTGTGAAAGGGTCTGAATTGGCAGCCGACCCCTGCGAATCGGTAGCGTTGGCGAGCGCGCAATCGCTCGAGCACGTAAGCGCTCGATCGGCCATCGAGGCTGCCCTCCGGCCTCGACAGGTTTTTCCACGGAAGGCGCCGGGCGGCATTGGGGGGGGGGGGGGGTGGGGGGGGGCGGGGGGGCGGGCACAGACTGCTGCGGTTGTTTCGGGGGAGCGACCGCGACGGCGCCACGCCGGTGCGCCTCACAGTGCCTCACGGATGGAGACGGTGTGTCGACGACGCGCGGGGTTGAACGTGCAGTGGGGACGTGCGAAATTGCGTGCGAGCGGGAGGTGGGGGAAGCGTTTGAGCACGCGAGCGTCGTGACGGCGGGGAGAGAGCGTGGCAGTGCCACTGAGTGTCCCTTTCCCCGGCACGTGTGAAAGCGCATACATGGTGTAAGAACGCAAAATTGTTAAAAATATATAAATGCGCACAAACACCAAATATCGCACAACACTTGCACAGCACGGCGACATGTGACAATGCTGATTTATATCGCTATGCGATAATACATTTCTACTGAAAAAGCACTTTCAAATATTTTTTTAAAAGTGACTTTCGCAAAAAGGAAAACAGAATTCCTGTATAAAGTGCTGAAGATATATATACTGAAATGCAGCTAAATGAATGATTTTTATTTGATTCTCGAAAACGTGTACATAGGTGTCTGTGTCATTACCGAGCTAGTCATCATTGTTGTGAGTACCCCAAGCCAAAAACACCATCAACCATCGCGGTTAGCAGTGGCGAGATGGGTCTACATGTTACAACGCCGACATCACGGTTGTGTTAATCAGTACTTACGTTCGAACATTGGGTGCCTTGTGTTTGTGGTCACAATCGCAAGTGAGTGACCACGACTTAACAGCGACTCAAGCTCAGACTCTTGATTACGATGCCCAACTGTTTTCCTTTTTCCTTTAAACCCGTGCGTCGCCACCTCTGCCGTCGCAAAAATGTGGTGGCGCACGTGCGTTTTTGTTGTCTTGACGTGCAGTTGTGCCACACCAGCACGCGTGCGCGTGCGCCTGCATGCATGCGTGTGCGTGCGCATGTGCGTACGTGTGCGCGTGCACGCGTGCTACGGAGAAAACAACGGAAGTCAGTATTGCCAGCTGCACCGTCGGTTGCAGCAAGCGTGAGACGTTAGTTGTAATTGTCACAGCTTGGGTTCCTCAGAACGAAAGAAAGAAGTACCTCTCTCCTTTTCCACTTGGCACATCCGTTTCGAGCCGGGGGCCGTGCCGACACGGCCCAGCGATAACCGGTGACTCGGGAGTCGCCGGTTATCTTTTTTGTCCACCGCAGAAGCCGAGCCGTGCCGCTGTTGTCACACGCGGATCACGTGGTGGATACACGCTCACGCGCACACATCACACACGCAGGTAAGACAAATATCCCCCGTATAGCCTCAACAGACTGTTGGAGCAAGTGCTGTTAGCGAGCAGCACCTATGAAGGCCGGCACTGTGGCACACGAGGGGGTGGGTGGCCAACACCACGCCCGGCAGCCTTTGTCTCCCGAGTAGCGATGTTTACACACTGCACCAGGTTAGTTTGAGTCGACCTAGGGGAGGACCGGGACCGGTTCAGATAATTGTCACCGGTGTTGGCCATGAGCGGCAATCGAACTCGAGTCGCCGGGTTCGTAGCGCAGCGCGCCAACCGCTGCATTGCCGCTCCCCACATACGCAGATATACACAATCACACACATACACGATCACACACATACACGATCACACATACACGATCGCACACATACACAGTCACGAAACTCAGACGCATCTTCTCGCTTCCGACTCACTCTGACCAGCTGGACCCTAGTTTGTCGAGCTTCTTCAAGTGTGATGACATCACGTGCCTTGCTTGGCCCCGAGCCAGATCCAGATGTCTTCTTGTGAGGCCAGCGTATCACGCTTTGGTTCCGGCTCGGCTCGGCAGCCAGTGGAAAACCCCACCGTACCGTGACGGTTCCGGACTGGCTCGGGTCAGATGTGCCAATGGAAAAAAACGAGGTAAATATAGCACGCAGCATCGGCCAATTCCTGAATGCTGGTTGCGGGTGGTTCTGTGGTGTCGTTGATGGATCGCAGAGGTTTAGAGAATGAATTTAACAAAAAACCCACCCGGTGTTTGCAGTAGATTTAGAACGTGTGTTTAGACTTTGATTATGAGATTATGCCCCCCCCCCGCCAGCAAGTTTCTGACAGTGTTGTCCACCTATGCGTAGGTTTTCCCGGGGCACTCTGTTGATTTCAAGGAAAGCAAAATGTGCACTGCAAGTTACAATTAAACAAAACAACAATTCCTTTACTCTACACTAGAGGGCATTGGTGGCTTAGCTTGCATCTTTCTTCGTTATTTCTGCGGGTCCTCGGTTCAAACTCCCTCCATCATTGTCCGATTTTGAGCTTTCTTCTTTCAAGCTATGAAGCTCATCTTCATTCTCCTGTCTCTCGCCTATTTACCAGCATCTTTTTTTTTACAGACCACTCATCGTGAAGTGCGCACCTCTGAGCTTGTGTCCAAACCGCATATTTATTTTCTGCATCGTTCTGAGGCTTCTCTCCTCCCGAACCTGCTCTTGAACTTAGACCATTCACCATTTTTCTCCATCCGACTCAGGGGGCTCCACGGTGGCGAGATGTTAACTCCCTCGCCTGGTATACAGGAGGTCGTGGGTTCGATCCTGGTCCCAATCCTGGCCCTGACGCCTGCTGTATATTCGGAGTTTGCATGTTCTCCCCGTGGTCGCATGGATTTTATTTCTCCCCACATTTAGACTGAACGTCACGCATTTAGAGTATTTGGCTTCAATACATGTCCACGCGTTGATAAGCCACTTCGCTGAGCTATCATTCGTGGTAGCCAGGCTACTTCTTAAAAACAGCCACGTGGCAGTTCAGTACCTGGTAAATAAAATTGTAACAAAAAATCTCCATTGGACCCCACAAGCCCCTTGTCAAGGCTTTCAGTCGTCGTATGCCTCTTCCTTTCTCAAGAGTCGCAGAGTTTTTTGTCGCATGCAACGCTACGCTCCATATAGCAGGGCCCGCGCGGGTCAACTTTTATTCAAACTCTCTGCTCATTCGTTTTGTCAGCCAACATTCTTCTACGATTGTCGAGATGCGTGATGAACAAAACGTACACATGTATACATATAGTGCCAGATTGCCGTCATGCAGGAGGATAACTCCGTAGCCTTGCGATTTTTACCCCCCCGTGGTTTCACGATGGAGACATCGGTGAGTTCTTCGCGAAAGATCTCTCGAGAAGTTGAACATTCGTCAAGAAGGGAATCTGGGTGGTGCTCAGTTTACGTTGGCGGCTCCAAATTCCACATTCCCGTGGCAGGGTCCAGTCTTTACATAGAGGACACCCTCCGTCAGTATGATTATTCCAGTACGATTGTCAGATCTTAATGTCTCTGCAAATTGTGGAGTTGCAAACAGTTAAGGCTGAGTGAAATCTGCATCGATTTTAAAACACATTCCTATACCACTTGAAAAAACGAATAAAAGTTGCTGTGTAGCCAAAAAAAGTGAGTATTTTTCTAGGTGGTTTATGTGTCCAGCACACAGGTTTGTATATTAAGTGAATTTAATTTCAAAGTAACAATAACGTAGAGCGACTGATCGCTTGTAAGAATCTATTTTTACTTGTGTACTGTGAAGAGGGATGTGTTTTAAATTTCACACTTTTCTTTTTTCGTAACCATGGAGCTTTCTCAGAGAACATGTTTGTTATCGTCATCATGAATCACAAGCCAACGCTGCATCTTCACCTTCGTTTCAGATTCCAGAATTTTGCCGAGGATTATTTTTATACACGGCCATTAACAAACAAACAAAAAGTTGGTAAAACTTACAGCCTGTAGTTTGAACAAAGAATTATAAAACCCGCTGTATATCCGAATGTGTTTTTTGTTGTTGTAAATATGATGTAACGTATATAAAACTTGAAGATCATATTGTGTTGTGTCTTGCTAAAAATGTGTTCCTGTTACTAAATATTGTTTTGGGGCGGAAACAGATGGCACATTTAGACTGCGTATAATAAACATGGCTTCATAACATTCACGTTCATGGATATGTAGTGCCACATTTCCATCTGCATCCGGCACAAAATCTAATTCATAATATTACATTATGAAGTCATGTAAGTAGTAAATAATGTTTGAGGTCTTGCTGTAGCATTGCATATGTGCGTGTGTGTAGGAATGATACCCAATCAAACAATAAATGACCCACGGTTGCTCTAGCTCAGTCGAGAATGGTTAATTTCGATCACACAACAGAGAGTTTCTTGGGAAAATGTATCCCGTTTTAAATCATTGTTGGGTCGCGAAGAAATGCCAAACAATTTTCACTTGCATCAATATTTGATTCGCTTACAAACTTAGCATAGAGATTCTTTATTTTTCTTTAAGACCAAAAATATTTAATAATCCATCATTGTCGTTTCACTAAATCAATTTTGAGCTCACCCTGTCCTTGACAATAAATGTGCACTCAAAGTGGGCTGGTGAGGCATTTGGATAGCACCGGCATTCTCGTGAGGAGCGCATCCTGGATGATGTTTGTTGTTGTTGTTGTCTCATTTGCAGCGCGCAGGACACGCATGCACCCGGGACACGTCCGGCAATGACGCTGCCTCGGTTCCACGGCTGGGCCAGTGCGCATGTAACAGCATAGCCTCGGTGTTGCCGTCTCGCACACTCAACCAATGTACGAGTGCCCATCGTGCACGTGGGGCTTGCCTGGTAATTAGTGCTGAGCAGAGGTCGCTCAGGTCCCGGAGATGGGAGCTGTAGCAGTGTTTGTTGCATGGGGCAATGGTTTATCTACTTGAATATTTACGATGTTTGCCTAACACCGAGGTTTTTGCAGCAAATATTAAGATTGATTATTGTGGCGGGCCACGTAATGGCCTGGGCCAAATTCGTGTTTTTGGGCCCTACACCACCCGACACAGCCAAACAAATTTAATGGTCACGCGTACAATTATTTAACACCGATTATCACGTCATTTAATTGAACAGCAAGGATTTTCTGAATCACAAGGCTCATTTCCAGGAGAGTTCGACATTGGGATGATTGTCCGACATTGGGATGATTGTCCATTTCCATTAAAGAGTGTTGTTTTATTATTATTCCTACATTAGAGAGGAATCCAGATGGCCTGAAGAAAACGCATGCATATGAGGGGATAACGCTCAAAACGCACACACAGACTGGGTCACATCCCATTCGGTGTACTGCCGTCACCGACCACGCCTCGTAGTCCAGTGGGTTTGGGAATTTAGAAAACCCACCTGATCCACCAACCCTTACCCTCCACAAATGCTGCATCACATGGCATGTGCCACCAGGTCTTGCTATGCCTCTTCCTTCTCACCTGATCCATGGAATGATAGGTGCAGTGTGCATCCTCACCAAGAGAGGTTTTGTTTCAGGTATCTGACGTCAGGTTGCCTTTCCACTCCTGTGGGACATTCTCTGCGCGACAGCTGAGTTGTGTAAATCAGGTGGGGCCGAATGTGCAGTGGTGAATTAAAGATGCATGACTTACATTTCCTCTTAACACACTGCTTTGAGATGCACTACTTGAGATGCATTACTTTGCCCTTCGAGCAGTGCAATGACTCCAGTCTGATGTTTATGCTGCAGTGATGGAATGAGCGAAAACGAACTGGTCAGAAAATATTACCAACAGAAATGCAAATATTTGAACTCATTTCCCAAACTGATACCCTAATATGTACAGTGTGTTTCCGTTACGAGGCACTGCTGGTGATGAATGTGGTGAGCTATTTATTATTTCTGGTGATGAATGTGGTGAGCTATTTATTTTTTCTGGATTTTGCCTTCCAGTTCGAGCAAGGGTTGGTCAAGCAACATATTTTTTCATGATTGGAATTCCAAACCATTTTGTACATGGTTTGAATCGCAGCCTGGTCATCATGTTTCCCAGTTATATATCCTTATGACAGGACCATTTAAAAGCCACCGCCTGTATCTCTTTGGCCTTGTAAAGCCTAAACGGTGGCCAGGCAGTGTAGATGAGGTCATTCACTATCATGGGGTTGAGCATGAACGCAGGTACTGTATTGGGATTCTTATTTTTAAATCCGTGGGGTATTTCTGTTAATCCTGGAGGTCATTGTCACGATGTCGTTAAAGAGTGAAACCCCCCAACCAGCCACCTTGTGCACGGAGACCTCGGGTGCTGGGCGCAGTAGCTGTGCTCTCTGTGCACGCGTGCAGTGAGCTGGCATAGGTTGTGGGCCCCTTAAAGTCTCTCTTATCGTGCCTCGGTTTCTGTGGGCAGGCCAAGTCGCTTGGGCTCGAGCACCAAGCGAGTTGGCCTGAACTCGAGTTAAAGGAATTGTCCACGATTGTTCCGAGTTACTCAACGGCTAGACCTTTCCCGGAAATAATTCCGAGCAAGACTTGATCGGAAATACTTGTGAGTCAAATACCACGACCACATTGATGACTTTAAATGCATAACATTAAATGTTCCAGCTGCCTACAACATTCTTGTTATATTCTTAGGTGTTTTCGGTAAAGTCACGTAGGTAAAACATCAAAATTAATGAAAATAATAAAATAAAATAAAGATCACGACGTTTCGGAGGCAACACAAGTCTCCGTCATCGGAGACTTGTGTTTGATGACGGAGACTTGTGTTGCCTCTGAAACGTCGTGATCTTTATTTTATTTTATTATTTTCATTAATTTTGATGTTTTACCTACGTGACTTTACCGAAAACACCTAAGAATATGATTCCTTGCAGTCACGAAAGCTTCAAGTCTAACATTCTTGTTGTTGACATGCTTGGTCGTGTTATTTTCGACTCGGTACGAATTATGTTGTTGGAAATGTACGTGTGTGTTGCACTCCTTTCGCACCGTACGTAGCCAACTGTGCTCGTCGGAGGTGCGGGGGAAGGACAAATTAATTCAAAAAGCAGTTATAAAGAAATTAGCTTTTCAATCTAAGATTTTTAAGTGCAAATACAGGCCAGCGGGTGAAGAACTCGAGTTGACTTCAAATTATGGAAATGCCGTGGCGGGTGAGATAATCTCGAGTACGCACTCCCGTTCTGCGACTCCAGTTCTGACTCGTGCAGAAATGCGGTTTCATTTCGTTCTCCATCCATGCCCCCCCCCGCCTCTCTCTCCTCTCTCTGTGTGGCCCTGAGTTGATGTGTCCCATTTCTAGTGTTGTATAAACGTGCCTTTTTCCAACCAATGGCTTTGCGATCGTTTTTGTTCGTGAGCCGCGGTACATTGGCCGAACAAGGAGAGTGGCGTCTCTGACATACAGCAAATCGCTCGTTTCTGCTCGCGAGGGTTTTTGTTTATTGAAGGGACAATATCCATCTACCCCCGAGCTCGTCCACCCTCGTCAGCCGTGTGGGCTCTCACACCTCGTCCGCAAGACGACCACATTTGCCTACAGTCCAGGTGGATCTAGAACCGTTACAAAGGAGGGGGAGGGAAGAGCTTGGGGTTAGCGGTCCCAGAAGTTTAGTCTCCGAAATAGGGATTCATCATCGAATTGTGGGGGTCAGCGCGTGAGTAGAACGTGACGCGTCGTGCACGCTGCTCCACGTCACACAGCCAACTAATGAAGTCGTCACGTGATGACCAAGCGTGGAGGAGGGTTTTACGACACACACGTTTTTTACTTACGCGTTCTGGCTCAAAAATAAGAATGATACATCATCGTATTTGTCGCGAAAGCCAACTACGTGTTAGTAAAAAAACATTAATCAGGCCCTACATTAATTTTATTGTAGTGAAAAAAACATGAAACGCATCTTCTCTGTTGAATGTCACTAAAATGCCGATTATCGGGGGTGGGGGGGGATCACATCGCCCCCTCCCACCGAAACTCGTTCGCTTGCCATCTCTGCTTCTTATTCTCTGCTTCTGTTGCAAGGCAGTGTTCGGTGAAGGCGGAAGAAACCCTTCCGAGGTTGTGTGCCCAGGGCCATCAAACGTGACTCGAACCGTCGTCAATGCAAATAAATCGACCTCGAAGCGAATTTCAGGAACACTCAAATGACGTCACCGCGGTGCGTTTAAACACGTGGTTGCAACCCCAGCGGCACCCCCAAGAGAATGTGCGAAAGTCACACAGTCTGTGTTTTATCCTCCTCCATATTCTTCGATGCGGTGGCTTCCAACTCGCATTGGCCACCTTGGGGACACAAGTCCCAGGTAAAATACAATACTTGAAAATGTATATCTATAAAAGTTTGCAGACTTGGTCAATCCACTGCTTGATGAAGGCCACATCCCATCCTGTGTCAGTCACGCGGGTTTTTTTTTTGTTTTACCAATGCTGGTCCGTGTGAGTTTACTCACCAGTGCTGTTCACCACGGTCATGAACAGAACTCATGTGCCTGGGTTCATAGGGCATTGCGCTAACAACTGCGCCACCACTCCACACTTACGGCTGCATTTTTAAAGGTGAATGAATTAATCCGAAAGTTAATGCATGGTACAAAATAACCATCACGGTAATGTTAACTGTCCTTTCATATTTCTCCCGAACACACGCGCGATTATTTGTGCCCCTGTTGAGAATATAAATAACATAAATAAACGCTTGCTTTGCATCGTTATCTCACCACATTAAGATAGTATTTACACGTCCCATCTGCCATCATATTACCGTATTAAACCGATGGCTGTTGCTGCAAAAATCACCCCCAGAATGCTCGTGTGGCTGATGGCACGTGTTCAAAATGCACGTGTCTTCTCTGTGGAGGACACAACTATGGATAGGGAGGCGTATTGTCTGCTTGTGTGTTTTTGTTGTCGCTAAGGATCTCCGCTTATCACAAAGCCGTGTCCTCAATCTGCGAACAAACGACTTAGTCCCGAAGCACCGCGACCTGCTCCGACGAGGGATGGCGCCCGAGGGGCGCCGCGGCTCTCGCGTTCACGCCGACCGCGTGTGGCGGCCGTCTCCGCGAGAAGCCCCCGGGGCAGGCGCCGGGGGCGGTGCTCACCCCCACGGGCACGCGGTGCTCACCCCCACGGGCACGCGGGGCCACGGCGGCTTCACGGTCGGGATTCACACTGCAGGAATCCGAAGAGCTATAAAGCTTCGATTTAAAGCTTTCGTGACTGCAGGAATTCATCTTCTTGGTTCTTTCGGTAAAGTAACGTAGAAGGGAATTATTTTATTATGTTTTATTTTTATCATTGTATTACTTCCCTTCTACGTGACTTTACCGAAAGAACCAAGAAGATGAGCTATAAAGCTCTTTTTTCACAGATGTTCCAGTAGGGGCACTGGGTCAGAGAGTTACTTGGACGAAGGCCTCCCCCAGGCCATTCCCACAATGGCATCTCACTCCGGGGCGCGAGCTGGTGTCGTGGATCCATCTCCACGTCGTTGACCCTCACGGGCGTGAGGTCACGGGCAACAACAGCCTCGTCCATCGGGACCTCCTCGTTCCTTCTTACAGCCACGACGTCTTGCCCCGCAAGCACCACTTTCGGCGGCGAGTCAAAACGATGTCTCGTTTGAGTCGCCTGCTCCACAATTTCTTCACAGTATTTGTCTCCTAAGTGTACATGCGGTCAGTAATCAGGCATGCGTGCTTCTCCGTAACTTTCAGACGCTGTTTCCTTCCTCTGTCAAAGTCCACGGTTCTGCCTGTCACCAAGACACCCGCCACTCAGATTTAGGAAGCTAAGTAGGGTTGATCCTGGCTAGTTGTTGGATGGGCCACCATACAAACCAGGTTGGTGTCGGCTTGCGGGAACACGTAGTGGTCAGCAGAGGGCAGTACAGCGACATCCATTGTACTCCCTCTGTGTCCCCACGAGTCTGCCGGCCGCCTCCACCAACTCGCACTGACCAACGTGGTGAAGTATGGTCACTTTGACCATCATGACATGAACTTGCATGGGGGGAGAGGCCGTCATCCAGCAGTGGATAATTAAAAATAACCTTTAAAAAGCACCTCTGAGCAATAAGGAACAAAACGTCAAACGGCCAGCAAAAAAACCTCTCAAAGTTGTAACAGATTTTAGCGTCAACGCGTTTACCGAATTTTCGGCACCGACCCATTGACAAAGGGGGCACCGCCGCTTCGGCGCATGGCGCGACGTGCACGTGCCCCTGGGCCACTGCGGGCTGCTCGCCTCATGCTCCTCATTTGCATAAGTTCCCCCGCCCACCACCTGCAGGCGAACCAATCAGCCGCGAACAAAACTCGCGGAGACTCCCCCTCCCGTCCAACTCCCCTCGTGCCCCCTCCCCCCTCCCGTGGCTCGGTCGGTGGCGCGCGCGCGCCGGTTGCACAGAACCCGGCGCGCGAGCGCGCGAGCGGTGCACGCGCAGCACGGGGGCGCGCGCAGCACGGGGGCGCGCGCGCGAGCGGTGCACGCGCAGCACGGGGGCGCGCGCGCGAGAGAGCCGCGCGAGCTCCGCTCCGTTCCCGCCTTTTTCTCCTCGCGGCGGCGATGCAACCCGCCGAGTACAAAGAACCCCGTGGCAGCATCAGCAGCCGCACGAGAAGCTGACGAGGCATTGTACACACGTCGAGGAAGTCGTTTGCTCGGTGCAAGCAGCCTCCTTTGCCTCGCATAACTATAGCAGACGCAACAAACACCACACGCAATAGCGGCGGGCGCGAACGTCGTAAGCACCCCGTTATTCGCGACACCGGACACGCCGAGAGACTTTATCATCGTCACCAACGTCGCGTTAAAGACTGGGACAGCCCGCTCTCAAGTTGTGTCGCGGTGGTGCTGGAGGTGCTGCAGGAGGAGGAGGAGATGAGTGTTCGCCATGCGCATGCGGACGAACCTCGTGACGGCAGGCGCCGTCTCGCTGCTCGGGCTGCTGCTGCTCGCCCGGGACCCGGGGGGCGCGGGGGGCCCTGGGGGCGCGAGGCGCCCGGGGGGCCCGGGGGGCTCAAGGTGGCGGGGCAAGGGGCCCGGGGCGGCGGCCAGGTCAGTGGCGTGGGGGGGGGTCTTCTCATCTTTCACTCCGTTAAATACTCTTAAATTAACACGGATGAGATGTTTAAATGTATATGTATTGAAACGTGACGACGTGTGTGTGAGTGGATTTTCTTAAAATTTGTCTTGGGGTTTGATTGTTGACAAATCTCTTGACAGATGTCCTGAAATGTGTGGGTCTCTTCAGTTCTCTGAAGTTAAATATTTACTAAGATTTATCTTAACTTTAGACGGAACGACGTGTGAGTGAGTGAATGATCTTAAAAATTGTCTTGGGTTTGATTGTTGACAAATCTCCTGACAGATCACCTGAAATGTGTGATTGGGTCTCTTCGATTCTCAGAATATTAACTGAGATTTATCTTATCTTTAAATGTAACGAAATGTGAGTGAGGAAATTATCTTAAAATTTGTCCTGGGTTTAATCGTTGACTTTCAGGAGATTTGTTTCTTAACTAGAAATGTAACGACCTGTGTGAGTGAGATTGGTCTCTTCACTTATCTGACGTTAAATATTAAAGAAGATTTCTCTTAACTTTAAACATAACGCCACGTGAGTGAGGGAATTATAATTCTCGCAAAGTCGTGGACGTGACGAAATGTGAGTGACAGGATTTCTTCAATTAATCTTACTATTCTCTTAACGTTAAACGTAACGAATCATGAGTGAGGAAATAATCCTCAATTTCTCCCAAGTTTAATCGTAAACTTTGAAGACATTTCCCTTCAATCGCTTCTTAACTTTCAATGTAACAAAACGGTGCCATCAATGGGGATTCTGCAATTATCTTAATTCTCTTAACTTTACACACAACCGACTGAAGGTGATTCTCTTAATTTATCTGAACTTAACATTGTGAGAGGATGAAGCTCTGCGTAAGATTGATTCGTCGTCAGCCAGCAACTAAACATACTGTATGTATTACACGTAATGTATACATTATTTAAATTTACTAAATTGACGAATCTCCTGACAGATGTCCTGAAATGTGTGATTGGGTCTCTTCAATTCTCTGAAGTGAAATATTTACTAAGGTTTATCTTAACTTTAAACGTAACGACGTGGGAGTGAGGGAATCATCTTAAAATTTGTCTTGGGTTTGATTGTTTAATTTACTAAATTAAAATAACGAGCACTCTTCTTTGGCGAATGCGGGAAACTTGACAAATGTGTTGATTGGAGAGTTAAAACGCATTCCATGTCCCCCCCTCATCCAGCTCGTTATTGTATGAAGTGCCATGTATCGCTGACGTATTGTATTCTATTAATGTGTAGAGTTTTCCATTGCATTCAATCATCGACACGTTTAAGCGTTAAACGCAACGTTTGTGAAGTACATGTGCTATGAAGAAGGGCCGTTGCCTGAAACGTCACCTATGATACAAAACATTCATTTGAAGACCACAACACAGTAATATTGACGAATATGTTCATTTACGTAATTTGTGCACCGCTACCCAAGACAGCATCTCATAACAATTAGTATTTTGTCGTCATACAGTCATCAGATAAAAGCACTATTAATGCAGTGAAGTAATTACCGTGCTTAAGGAAATAAAAATCCATCCGTTGCTTAAAGGGGAGGAAAATACGATTTTAAACGTCATTAAAGTATCCAGAGAGACAGCTTATTTCAGGTTATATGATTGCTTCATTTGAGTTCATATAACCATCCATTGGCCATGTGGATCAAATGTACAATATGTATCTGCTATACATTTAACATGTTAAGCCCATTTGTCAATTCATTGATGAATGAGGATTTATTTTCGCCATGTTGTTAGTGGGTGTTGATCGAGAGGACTTAACCAAGGTGGGGAAGTTGGGGATCATAGACGTGGGAGTGTCGTAGAGTACAACAATGGGTTTTGCTACACTGCTGTCTGGCACATGCCTGGTGAGTTGGTCATAGGCATGGCTGATGTGATTGTGGAGATGAATCGCTGAAGAGCGAATGCAAACTATAGAACAAAGAGGACAGGCATCTTGGGAGATGGGCCACTGGGTATGGAGTAGACTGGAACCCAGGTGGCAGACATGTGGCAATTAGGTTAGCTCCGTGTGAGAGTAATTAATAGTTTAATAGGCTGCCATAACACTGCATTATATATGCTTAAGATACGAAAGGGACTCATATGCATAGATGAATATGCAATGCTATATTCTGCATTGATAAAACTGCAGCAACGAATTATTTCACGCAAATATCTTTAATATACGTGAGCTATTCTGTCCACTGATGAAGCACTCCCTCCCTGCCTTAAGCTCAGTTTTTGAGGCATTTGCAGAATTTTTTACATTGCTGATGCTGCTTAATTTGCATGAAATGTACAATAAAAAACATTCTGCTTAAGTGTTGCATTTACACTGACACGGCACACCTAATGTATGTATTACTGTATATTTAAGAGCTCATACATTTTTTGCTACCCGCATATATTATGAAATGCCATATCCAACACCATGGCAGTGGCGTGCGTGTGAAACATGCTGGGTTCCCTGTGGCTAAAGTACTGCTATTTTTTTTTACTGCAGATTTTACCAGACAAAGAATAAGCAGATCGAGTAGCTACAGAAAAGGGTAGAACACATGGTGGAAGTTTAATTAAAACGTGCACAGTTGCACACTTCAAGAACAAACGATTCCTTGTGTAAAGCCAACACTACTGTTTTGTTAGACAAAGCATTTTGATGACGCTTGCGTTGGCAGTGGTGCACACGCACAGATAAAAAAAATTCGGCACATTTGCCAATTCCACTGCCTTGAAAAGAAGTATATAACAGGTGACATTTTGGACAATGACGCTTCTTGACAATAACATCGAGAGGCGATAAGAGTTCACAGAACATATAGAAGTAGCATGGATGTACCTATCTGGCCTCTCTAATGACCAATGTGTGGAGATGTGTTGGTATTGTTACAAGAGGCTGTGTGAGTCGGCACACATCACGCGGTGGCCGGTGGAAACAACCAGTCTGTAATACAGTACATTTACACAATCTAAACAAAGGCTGTTAATAGACCCAAAATGTCACTTTTGTGGTCCTATTAAGATGTTATAGGAAATAATCGGCTTTTGGGAAATGTAATAGTTTAAATGAGTTGCTGCAGTGCGAATGGCAGTGTAAAGGATGCACACATTGCAGTATGCAGAAATTATGAAGTAATCACATACATCATGCCTGGCGCATGCACGTGTGCATTCAAACAAATATTTTCCTGGCAACCCTAAAACAGTATTGAGGCAGCTATCTGAACTGAGTGCCTATCCTAAGCCCATACACTACTTACCAGGAGGGATGCATCGAGCTACATGCCCATCTGTCTTTTGGGATGATTGTGTAGTGACTGACTCGAAGACACTAGGAGTAGGAGGCACTCTATTTATTAACAGCCTTCTCAGTTCACACAAAGTAACTACAGCCCCCAGTCAGGACAGCTGGCAGACTGCCTGGCTGATGACGCCAAGAAGGTGAAGACGTAGACGGCGATGAAGACTCCAGCAGCACGATGAGGAGATCCCACTCACGGCGACAGCCGCGAGCCTTCGCTGGGGTCCCCTTTTATCCTCCCAGCGTGGCCTCGCTCCGCCCCAGCGTCGCCCCCTTTCCAGAACCTACTAGCGGGTTCCCGGGCTTCTCTCCGTGCCCCCTCTGTAACCTTTCCCTTACATCCCTCTCTCTCCAGCTTGTCATGGGACCTGCTGTCAGGCAGGGCTGCTGCAACTGCAGATCCCCTTCTCTCTCAGCAACCAGCGCTATGCTACGTAGTGACCCATTTTATGTCACTACAATTGTACCCCCAAGAGGTCAGATGGTTTTAATGTCAAGTATATTGTACTTTGCATAAAATTAGAGGCTGCTCAAATGTGTTTTATTGCTGACAATCATAGCAGTGTTGCAGAAGAATTACGCAGTCTTCTGAAGGACGAGACCCTATCATTTCATAGTAGCCTGTGTGAATGGGTAAGGTTTCACACATGAGATTGCATTACAGCTCGTGGGTTCATGACCCTTTGACATTCTTCCCCTCTTAGTCATGTTTTTTTTATTTTCCCATTTCTTCCCACTCCTTGTAATGAATTTGCCAAACACCCCAATGCAGGGCTCTTCTGAAAAGAAGTCACGAGGTTCAGTGAGTCTTTTCTGAATACAAAATAAAAACATGTACTTTTATATTATTGACAAACAACCTTTGTGGCTGAGAATGGACTAGTGAGCACAAAGTGTATCTACATCGATTGAATATATGTGACTTGTGGAGTCAACCTTGCCATATGCACAGCCACTGTATACCTATAAAATATTAATAATGGAAAATGATTTTGGAATTCCCAGGTGGTGTTTATGTGACGCATATGTAGGTGTGTTCAGCAAGCATTGCAAATATCTCTTCACAAAAGTGTGTTCAGAGCACAGCAGATGCACCCTGGGAGACTTAATAACAGTTATAGTTCTGCAAGCTTGACTCATTAAAATATGAAAAGGATGGCATTGAGCGCCATAGTAGTGGAGTGCATTGATACAATAGTGTTTCTTTTGTTTTCTCAAAGCAAACTTTTACATGGGAGAAGTGAATGCGAATCTATAATTCTGTCAGACATGCTAGAATGCCCACCCTCCTGTTATTTCGATCCATTCCTATCCCCTCATCCCCGAACCATGATGTCAAATAAAATACATTTGAGTTCACTCACGTTAGAAGGGATGGCCTCCTGCTACCAAGCAATAGGTGTCTAATGCAATTTAATTTAATGACTCATCCCTCTGAGCACGATTCTCAAATATATAAACATGGACATTGTATTTCAGCTGGAAGAACCTGAGGAGCTCTGAAGTGCTCGTTGACAGGGGTCCAACCCAAGCTGGTGGGCAGTAGCAGAAAATCACAACGCAAGTTACGTTTCAATTGGCCATGTGGGTTTTGTAGCAATGAAACATTTAGTGTGACCCATTTTCTTTGTCATTGTGGTGCATAAATGAAGCCTTACTAGTCTTCATATTATTTGCACTTACAATATTGGCAAGTTATTCAAGAATTTTACTGCACACTGTTTCAAAGGAAATAGATTGGATCGCCCATTGTTAACACAATTATCTATTGGAGCATATGTAGAGTCGTGTAGGGAAGTGTTTTGCCGGTATTATTCTGTCTTCAAGTGAGTGGTCATCTGGTCTAATTTGTGAAACGGTAAAGTGAGTCTATGCTTTTCATTTTGTTTGAGTTTACTCAGAGGAATGTATATGGACAACTGCGTTGTTTTACTTGCAGGCACATCAGTTTATTTTAGTCCTGTCTTTTTATTAAACTAGTGTTGTATTTTAATGCCGAGTACTATTGTTCCATATGCATATACATACATCCATTATCGTGCGAGGATGCTTGTGGTCATGTGGTGGCTAATTGTGTGACCACCTGAACTGGGCAATTAGGAGCTAAAAGCCCGTGAAACCGTTGCCTTACAGAACAACGATCCTCCGCAACCACAGTGACCGCATGCTGCGATGCATATCTATGCTCAACGGATGCATATTTATGCTCTACGCAAGTCACTCTTATGGGTTGATTACTAATTGCTTATTAATTGTGTTGAAGAAGATAAAAATACATCTTTGTTTCGTTGTATGTTCAAGTCATAGCCACTTACACTTTGTAAAGTCGGCAAAAAAGACAACTGTACAATTAAATTGGCATTGATAAAATATTGAATTGGGACGCACAAGTGAGATGAACAACATTGTATGTGGATGTTGATTTCCTGGCAACAGTGGAGGTTTACACGTGATAATTTGTTAGTTTTAATGAATCTGGGTTCAACTGCACGAAGGCAATAGTGTGTGAAAATATGAATCAAATAGGAATCCAATCAGCAGCTTCTCCCAGGCAATGGTAACTTAGCTATAACTGCAGTGGAATTAATCAGGAGTATATTACCTAGGGAATAATTTTTTTTTTTAGAACAAATGACAGTATATTCTGTTAAGGCAATGGTCTAATCAGGAATAACTTGTTGTCCAATGCAGTCACATCATTAACGTGCATTCTATATTCATTATGAAATGCCAAATACTCATCCAGTTAAGATTTATATTTAATGTCCTTATGCTTAAACAATTCCATGGTATTTTTTAACACTTGAACTGAGACCGATAATTTGGAAAAGCTTAAATTTGAAGTTGCATTTGAAATGACTAAGTTTATTATCATTCTGAGTTACGTAGAAAACCGTCCCAATAGATTTTGGGGAGTATTACCGATTTCAATCGTGAATGCAGTTATCTCCGTATAATATGTGATTATAATATACATAATGTGGAGGATGGCCCACTTTACTAGATTCCCAGGAGCTTAAGTTCAACTTATTTTTGTCCCAGCTCATATGAAAAATTAATTTAAATTCATCTAATTTGCTCATTTAAATACAAGCAAGGGCTGCTCTGCAGGAGGGTTATTCTGAATTGACCATGTAGTGTCTGGTAAGTAATAACTCCTTGATTAAGGTGGCTAGGTAGCTCGGGTCAGAGCGCTGGGCTGGTACCGCTGACATCCTGGAGCCGCCCATGGTTAACCTGGATTCACCAATGTCTGTACAAGAAAACATTTTTATTGTTCCTTATTTGGCAAAATTTCAGCTCAGAATAAAAATGATACACGTTTATGACGGACATTTCTGTCTGTAACAGATTGGGTTTGGAAAGTTCTGCCCTCCAATGTACATAGAGGGTACTTGAAGAGATTTCAGAAGAAGTCTTGCAATACCTCCTTCTTTGAACTGCTCTCTATCATGGGGTGAATGCACTGCTTATTGAGTTCTGAATAACTTGATTATATCATTGCATAACAAAAATAGCACAATTTGGATTAAACAAGGACAAAGACATTACATGTATTTTTAAAGTGACAACTCAGTGAATATTTGCTCCAGAAAAATGTATCTCTGTAAAGGAGGAAGAAATTGTCAGTGGCCACTTACACTGGATAATATCAGAATTTTATTAATGTGTTAAAGGATGTGGGAATTACGTCACATTGACATCAAGAGAGTGCTATAATGGTGTGCTTGACCATATCTTGAAACGTTTTTTGGATAACTCGACAGCCTATGTAGGATAAGAGTTGTCTGTTTTTTGGGTTTAATATTCTTTTAGCTTACATTGCTTATACATAACGAAGTGGAATCGACATAATGTGCCATGAAACTGTCCACTAATCATTCACTAAATATTGTTTTGTGTCAGGTTATGTGGAATTCTGCTTGGAAAATGTGAAGAGGTTTTGGTTTTTTTTATTAATGTGTAGTGACATCGTTGGATGCCACTGTGTGAAGCCGGCCTGTGGAAAGGCACGGCACACGATGTATTGACATCGCTGACACCACTTTAATGTGGATGTAGTATGGGCCCTAGTGAGCACTGACTGACAGTTGGCACCACGCTCTGCGTGCAGTGCCAGCCCCTACAATATAGAAGGCGAGAGTGCCGGGTACGGTACGGGGTTACCAGGGGACTATGGCACTCTGGTTGAACCCGGAGGACACGGACCCCCAAAGGGGGACTGGGGTGATCACGTGTCCAGGTGAAGATCCTTCTCGAGGTTTGGAGAAGGTGGGCGTGGCTAGAGGCGGCGCGAGCACCACCACACAGGTGATAAGCCAGAGCCCTGAGCACCACCGGCTGCTGTTGTCATTCTGAAGAATCGACGTTCCACGTCCAACGTCCAAGAAGAGTCATCAACACGTGGACCTGGACCCAAGCTGAGGTCCCATCCATTGTCGCTACTCCCAAGTGTAATTAGTGTAGTTAGCTTGGTGGACCACCTCCGTAGGTTGTTATCTGGTGATGGGGTAGTTACCCCTGTGTGTTAGTGTGTTGGTACCAATAAATGTGTTGCCTCCAAGAGTGCGTCTGCGAGTCAGTTTGAACCCACTACAAATGCAAAGTGAAAACGATTGTGCATATTCAGTACTCCGCCAAGGGGGTCTGTTAATTAGGTATTATCATGTGAGCTGGAATGTTAATTTATTAATGCTACGAGCTGCATTTGGTTTTGAGTATGTATCTTTGATACCTGTGAGTCTCATGACATACATCACAGTTCACCAGCCCATTGCAAAAATATAGTTTTCATTATTATTACAGCCCTGTCAGTATGTGACATGCACATTGGCAGTAACTTTTAACACTGCACAGAGACACAACAACCCCCTTGCATGTCCATTCTCTCACTTCCAGTGATCATATTTTCCAGCTCCTCTGGGAATTATAAACAAATGTTAAAACAGCCTGCCACCCAAAGCAAAACCTTATAAAATAAAATAATTAGCGTGTTTGGAAAACGTCGACTTTGAGAGAGCCCTACATTACTTTCAGGTTTATTGCTCGTAGAATTGATAAAGGTGATCATTACCATTACTTGAAGCCAGTGCAATCAGACAGTCTGATTTTAGCATTGTAAGTTTTTAAGCAAGATTCAAACCTTTGTATAGCAATTAACCATGGCTTGCTGCTTCATTTGTTGGCTGTGATGAAAAAACCACAGGTGTTGGGTAATTGTCCTTGAGGAACAGAAAATACATACTCCTTCGTTTTTGTTTTAAAATAATATGGTGTGATAATTCTCCACATCTTTTCACATAAGTGTGCACATCATTTCCGCTGTCTCTTGAGCCTTCTGCATAGTGCATATTGCTGAGTGCAGAATTGCATCCTGGATTAAGCCTTTTTATAGGTTGTGCTATCTGACTTGGGAGAGCTGCCTTGCAGTTGGGTTTAATGAATGTCTCCTGTGTGCTGGGGTTTGCGGAGCCATTACTCTATTGACACTCGGATTAAGCTGCGGTAAGGTTGATGCTTAAGATGAATGTACGCCCTAGAAACCTCTTCACCACATTAATTAATGTCTTTATTTGTGGCGTCTCACATTTTGCAAATGAAAAGGGGTGTTAAACCTTTGCACGAACCCATATTCTAACACTATAAGGCTTACTGCTGCTATAAAAAAAGAACCATGCAAGGTGGAACTGGCATAATAATTCATGGGCATCAATAAGGAACTTTGCACACTAAGATTGTTATGAAAATGCAATTGTCAAAGGCAGAAATACTCATTGAATGTCAGACTGCAGCGAACGAGGAGCGAACCATGACATTTACTCGGAGCACATGCCTTGGCGTGTACCTCACAAAGTTGAATGCTTATCTTGTTTTTTGCTTCGTGGCCACACTTTATATAAACAATAATGTAATAGCATTGTGAGCAGAGAAACCAAATCCAGATTAAATGTAAATAACATTTCTGTAATACTGGCAAAAAAGGTCCCATGATAACAGTTCTGTATGCACAACCCCCCCAAATGACAACACTTTTGCAGTAGGGTGCTGCATTTTGATGTTTGGACAATAATTTTAGTGATTTTTGTGTGTTTTATGTAGCTAATGGTGTGATTGAGATCATTCACTTAGCCTGTATTTACTGTGCTTCTTTCATTTAGTATTCTGATTATGTTATGGACATTATGTCATGAGAACAGAAATTTTCATTCAGAATTCTCACAATGCATCACCTACCAAATGCTGTAAGACAATAACCTCTGGAAGGTGGTATTGAAATTACTTCTGAGCCTTCAATTCCCCTATATGTATACTGAGGGTGTGCACCTTCTCACAATCCACCAATTTCTGGAGTTTCATAGATGTGATCCAACAACCGTTGCTCCAATCTGCTGGATTACAGGCATGTGCTGGGCTTATCACAACACCTGGTTTAATGACAGGCTGCTACTAAGCCTTGTTTTGACGCAGCCTTAACCAGATGCCTTTCTATATTCTCCCCAACTGCTACCCCCGTCCCTTCTGACTTGCTCTCCCACTCTCTCCCTCTCCTGTTCTCCCTCCCAAGGCGAGACATGAGGGGCCTCCAGAGAGTCCGTGTTGGCAACATGAGTGTGAGTGGTGAGAGCAGTCACTGGCCCGTGGAAGGAGCGCAAGGGTGGCGCTTCAACCTGTCCCTCGCCATGCACATACGGTGGGTGGGTGTCTGTGTGCAGTGCGCTTGTGTGTAGCTGTCCATGCATATTAAAAAGGACAAAAGAAGAATTACACCTGGTCCTGCCACCTCAAATTGTCCTCTGAATTTAAGCAGACTGGCCCTCTGCATTGTTATAATTTTGGTTTATTTGCCCTAACAAGCAGTGTATTGATTTGATTTATTTTCTAATTACAATTCCCCTTGAAATAAAAGCATTCCAGGCCATCAGACTCAAAGGATGTGCTGTTTGGCATCCACTGCTTAGTTTTTTTTCCACCAGTGATGGTTTTCTGAAGCTTGATAGGAGGCTTGCCAGCTGCCAATATGTAGCATTCCTGTCGGTAAACGTTTGTCTTAAACCTAGTTAATGCTGTTAAGCCTCTATTTCAAATTGTTGTTAAGCGTGGAGTAGTTACATATTTGTGTCCTAGTTAGTGAGTGAGCAGGATCATTGTTCTCTCAGCCCTGCTGCTTAGTGCTAATTCCATCACAAATTGTCCAGTACCATTCAGTGTTAGAACATTGGCCTTGGAAGCTGTATAATAAGTAAAAATATGCTGTTGCTTCATAAGGATTTTTCATACAGACATTAGTATTATTTTTTTGTTAAATATATTTACTCTGTTTTATTCTGTTTTTATAATGACTAATATTTCCCCCACTTCCTTTATGGTCTTCTAACATATGTGTTTTTGTAGCATATGCTTATACCAGTAATAAAGACATGTGGTGCCCAATTCAAGTCTCTTGAGGGATTTTATTATCTATTACATATGTTCTCTTATGATTATTACTACTACTGTATTATGAATATAAGGTTTATATCGATGCTTGCTTCTATAGTTCTGCCAGCATAGTGTGAGCATTGAGACTAGAAGATAGATATTGTATTTTTTGTCCTTTGAGTTAATGTATTTATTTAACACGTGCTTTTGCCAACCATTTAGTGTACAATTATATAAAAGAGGTTATACATGTAAAATTTGTCTTCATAAGAAAAATAACAAACGCAACCACTTCAGCCTGCATTTGCACTCTAATAATGGGTAGCTATGCATTATGGTGGGATGGATTGGAAAAGTATTTAATGTGCTGTACTATGCACCCCGCACATCCTGCACTGACCAGCGTGGTGGAAGTATGGTCGAACAACCCAAAGACTGACACGGTGTGGGGAGGCCTTCATCCAAAGGGGTTATAAAGTATATTGTATAATATTTGCTACTTTATTCTCCATTGGGTAGTTATTGTATAACAGCGATTACAATGCTGTGTTGGGTAGTGCTTATATGCAAGTGGTGTCACAGTGTTCTGCATAGGGTAGCTATTACTCTGTATGGGGTAACAGCTGGTGCCACAGTTGTCAGGTGTCATCTAAGTCTATCAGTGTGACAACACATGCACAGATGTGTTTTTATTATGTATATATTTTGTACACTTTGCATGTAAAGGCTGACAATAAACCATAAAGAAAATCCTCAGCATGGATTGTCCATATTGTGTGGCGTTGTATACCCATCTGCGGTACGTAAATGCATCAGTAATTTTACGGAGCAGCTTTCAATTTTCACTCTTGTCAGCCTGGTGGGAGGTGGGGAAGGGAGCAGTCTGCTTGAGTCAGCTTCTGTGTGTTAGGAATGTCTAATACCATTAATGTAATTGATTGATGGATAGTTTTCCATGCCACTCACTAACTGCAGTTTTTACACCTGACATGGCCTGTCTCCATGCCTTGAGCTGACTGATCAGTGTTTTGCATTTGCAATGCACTTTTAATCTCATCAACTGGATTTGCAAATACAAGGTAAGGTGGCTTGCATTACCTGTTGCAGGTCTGTTGTGATATACAGAACAGCTACAGTATACAGGTGGGTGCATGACTCCTGTTTTATCAAAAGGTGGTGAACATTGACAATGTGAGGGTGCAATATAACTTTTCACTGATACCAGTGAACATTTTATGTAACCAAAGACAATTTTTGAGAAGAAATGCTCTTGCTGCCAGATCCTTATTCGTACTCGATTGAAGCATGTTATTACACCCAATCCTTCCATGGGAAATTTGATGATCTTGACACAGACGTGCAAAAAGATGATGCTCACATAGGTATGGACTGCACCGGCCATTATATTTGTTGTGGAGGGCTCCCTGGAAGCTTCTCAAAGTAGCACCCAGGAGGCTGGTGCCTGCCTCCTGCTGCTCAGCTACTGAGAGCACTCAGCTGTGACTGGATTGGAAACACACTGCTCACCAGCTGCTCATTGGTTGGCACCGATTAAGGATTTTAAAAAATATAAGAAAAGAGGTTCGTAATGGTTTTTAGATTTTGTGAAAATCTTAGGGCTACTGGTGAATCCAAAGCAAACCTATGAGTTGAATTAAAGTATGTTTTCAGCTTAACAGTGACTTGCCATTGTATTGCATGTATAGTGGTATACTTAATCATGTATCTTTATTACTTATTTTTATTGGGGGTGGGGGTAGAAAGTGGTGGAAAAACAATTATCTCACTGGGGCCATAATATTGACTTGAGTTTGCTGGCCGTGGCTTATATCAGTGGGAAGTAATATCTGAACTGGTCCTGGGCAACCCCACGCCTTCACCAACCCTCACCTACTATTGTGGTGAAATATGGTATGGTAAAAAACCACCATGATCGGCATGCTGCATATTGAGAAAAGGGCTGTAGTTGTTTCTGTGGGAACTCGGCACGATATAGAATTTTCCATACGTTAATTGTTTTACGTGAACAAAAAAAATCATAATAGTTTGAGGGACACAATTGGAGAACACAACAGTATGCATCTCTAGGAAATTACTGAATAAGCCCTGGGTTAAAATTTATGAAAAGGGAGGTAAGCAAGAGCAGCATTTAATGCTTTTAAAAATTAAATCTGACAATGAAAAGCAACATACCAACGTGCCTAAACACAAACACTTTCAATCAGTGCATATATTACCTGCCAGGACATGGATTTAAAATATATACTCTGATACACAACATAGAACAAAAGCTGAAAAATGCGCAAAGAAACACAAAGAGATGCATTCTAGAAATGACACTGAATGACAGAAAGAAGAACATGTGAATTATAGAACAAACACAAATTAGAGATCACTTGTTGACTTTTTAATAAAAGTAAGAGGGATTCAGCAGGACATTGCTAAAAAGGGGATGCCAGCTGATGGACAAGACTGGTAATGGAGTTGTGAAGATGGAGCGATGAAATCGGCTCATGTCCATTAGCAAGATGGATTGTGGCATTGCATGAACATGAGAAATGGAAATAACTTGAGGGGAGGCCTTCATCCAGAAGTGGAGACATAATTGCTTATTTACCAATGAATGTCACACTGTCCAAGACTCTTTTTCGGGAGGGTTCTGCATTGGAATGTTTGGCCAACACCAATTACGTCATATGCTTTTTAGCTTTGGGAAATCTTGAAGGAGATTCATGCATGGAGGTGGGGGACATACAAACACCAGGTACTTGAATAAGGAATACAATTCCAGTCCTCCATGCTATAAGATATAAGCTTTACCACTGTACCACCCTGCAGCAAGGATCGTTATGTAGCATGCATTTATTGGTTTGTTTGTTTTGGCCATTTTTTGCCGACTGATATATTTGAAATGTATTTAGGTATAATAAGCTGAATTTATTTCATATTTATATATGAATGCATCTTATTCAGAGATGGCCAACCTGAATGGGAATGTTGTACATTATCTATTTAGGGTGGTATGTGGCCTGGCCAGGATGTTATTAGACTAGAGTTATTTTTTTCAATGCCACTGAGGCTACATATGATTGCTTGTATGTACTTATTTCAAGTTAAAGCGATTTAATGATTCCAAATAGCTCGTATAGATTTTGCATCTTAAGTTGACATATTTGCGCAAAATGTAAGTGCACATATTTGCATGTGCACATGTATGCATTCAATTGCCCTTGTCAAAACGACCTCTAGTTTTTTTCTGTAGTCTGGTGTGTAACACAGGGGGCACCCCAAATGCTCATGTCGAACCCCGCAGTGTTGCCGCAATTATGACTTTATATAGCGCTTCACACTGGCCTGACAAATTAACTTCTATCTCATCTCACTGCTGTGTGGATTTGTCAAATTTATGCCTTTTCAAATCTAATCAGGTGCACAGCACTTATTGTGCAATGGTTTCTTCTTGGTTATTAGATTACTAATATAATACGGAATTGCTTTTATTATGCCTGTGGGTTCAGTTGTGGTGCTAAGATGAGTGGGCTTTCAGAATTTGTGAACGACACATACCACACTCATCCTGACCTATATTTCACCATGCACGGTCAACAACTTCCATTATTTTATTATGGATGTTCGTAGCTTTTGCTAACAATGCAACCGCCATGTTAACTGGCACAATTCCCGTTCTCAATTTTTTAACTCTGCAAATGCCACGCCCCCACAGCTTTATTTAGCCACACGTGTTAAAAGCCTACATTATTTTACCATGCATGTTTAGATACTTAAATTTTTAGTAATGCATGTACCATATTTGGGAAGACCTTTTTTGACCTCGACATTTAAAAGTTGTCTTTTTTAGCCACCCCCTGCCATATTCCCATGATATTGAATCATACACATTCAGTCTACATCGTAGTGTTGCACTCATCACAGCTGCTGTCTCGGTAGCTGGCAGAGTGCATTGCCTCCAAGAAGCACTCTATTTATTGGGTTAAAAAACTGTGTTCATAATACTCACAGATTGCGCCACTTACTATTATTTAATTATGTACAGTATAGAAATTTCAAATCCTGAATAGGTGCTATTGTCTGCTTATAGTTAATTGATATAAATATTTTATAAATGTGGCTCATGACCCAATTAAGCATGCCCTGGAAAGTTTTCATTTGCATATTCGTGGGCCAGCCGATATAATAGTGGAAGGTTAATCATGTTATAACAAACAAAAAAATGTAATGCTCTATTCACCTATAATTAATGTTCCGTTTGCC